TGTGGAGTCTCCTTCTCTGGAGATGTTCAAGACCTGCCTGGACGCGGTCCTGTGCAGCCTGCTGTAGGTGACCCTGCTTCAGCAGGGGGCTGGACTGGGTGATCCCCAGAGGTCCCTTCCAACCCCTACCATTCTGTGATTCTGTGTATGTGGGTCCAGTTTTTAGCCTCATTTCTTACAGAAATGAGCCTTAACGAACTGATTTGCATGTCTCCTTTGAGCCCACAAGGCTCACAGGATAAAGGTCTCAAAAATAAACCTCAAAGAGCGTAAAACCAGGTGGCCAGGGAAAAGAGAAAGCAGAGAGACCACCCTGCGGGAAGGCAGGGTTCGTTAGACTGGAGGCCCTACTTCCACGTTCCTTTTTATGGCCTGCGAAAGCAAAGTCCATAGAGCAAAGAGGTCAGATCTGAGTTCTGTACGGCTACGTTGTTTATTTTGGCGTAACATATGGTTAAAAAAAAAAAAATGGTGCAAATATGAGTGATCAACAAACAATTGTTCCATTTATAGCCACTAGAAGTAGAATTAAAAAAGAAACAGACAAGCCTTAAATTGACGAAATTAAGGCAAAAGGAGTAAAGCACAAAGTAGCAGAAAGAAATGAAAAATAAAACTAATTTAGGAACTGAAGAATCTAACCTTTTGGTAGTACAGACAAAAATGAGTATTTTACATTCAAAGTAGTGAATGCTTATGAAGTATCAGTGTTCCCAGAACATAGCTTAAATACTAAGTTTTATTGAAAATAAAACTTGTAAATCCACACAAGACACTTCCCAACGCTACCCGCAGGGCTCATCCAGCTTTGTTTCCGCCTGACCGAAATTAATTTTGCTCCTTGGATTTGACTGGAAGCACCATAAACATATTTGCTCCTGCAGCTCCGCATCAATACAACACAAATTCTCCCTCCTGGAGTGTCTGAGAGGAGCAGAGTCCAGCTGCCCGGTGGGCTGCCTGTGCCCACCTGCCAGGGGCCGTGACCAGCACTCTGCAGTTTTACAGGAAAAACAGTAAGACCCCGCTCCAACAACCACGATTCACACCAGAAAGAAAAAAAAGTAAATCAAAAGAGTCTGTTATAAAAATGTCGATTTAGAATTGCATGAGCTTTCTGTTCTAAACTGCGGTGTTTGGGAGAAGGTAAGTGTTCCTTTGCTGTCCCAAAACCTCACAGCATGAAGATCTGGGGATATATGGATTTGATGGGTGGATGGCTCGGTGGATAAGGACATGGTTGGGTGGTCACAGACAGAGGGTAGTGATCAATGGGTCGATGTCCAGATGGAGACCAGTGACGAGTGGTGTCCCTCAGGGGTCCGTACTGGGACCAGCACTGTTCAATATCTTCATCAATGACACAGACAGAGATCGAGTGCACCCTCTGCAAGTTTGCAGATGACACCACACTGAGCGGTGTGGTCACACACCAGAAGGACGGGATGCCATCCAGAGGGACCCGGACAAGCTGGAGAGGTGGGCCTGTGGGAACCTCATGAGGTTCAACAAGGCCAAGTGCAGGGTCCTACACCTGGGTCGGGGCAACCCCCGGTACCCACACAGGCTGGGGGATGCAGGGATGGAGAGCAGCCCTGCCGAGAAGGGGTCCAGCTCTGGAGCCCTCAGCACAGGACAGAGCTGGAGCTGTGGGAGCGGGGCCAGAGGAGGCCCCAGCAATGATGCGAGGGCTGGAACCCCTCTGCTGGGAGGAAAGGCTGGGAGAGCTGGGGCTGCTCAGCCTGGGGAAGAGAAGGACAAGGGGAGACCTTACAGCAGCTGCCAGTGCCTGGAGGGGCTGCGAGAGAGCTGGAGCGGGACTTGTGACAAGGGCAGGGAGTGACAGGACAAGGGGTGATGGCTTTTAACTGAAAGAGGGGAGATTCAGACTGGATATAAGGCAGAACTTTTTACGATGGTGGTGAAACCCTGGCCCAGGTTGCCCAGAGATGTTGTCCATGCCCCATCCCTGGGAACATTCCAGGCCAGGTTGCACGGGGCTCTGAGCAACCTGATCCAGTTGAAGACATCCCCGCTCACTGCAGGGCGGTTGGGCTAGATGGCCTCTAAAGGTGCCTTCCCACCCAAAGCATTCTATGTTTCTATTGTATGATCCTATGATTCTATTCTCCACAACCCAGTGCAAAAATTAAAGCATCGTTCTATACCCTCCTTTGTTACTCTGTATCCACAACAAAACACGCATATATTTACATAAATATGTATACATATGCACAGAAAGGACTAGGAAGGGCATTATTGTAGAATGCCTTGTTGCATAACACGCTCCGTACTTCATTTATTCAGCAACGCCAGTCGTTCACAGCACTGTTAAATCATCGCTAATTTGGCTGACATCCCTGCGGAATACTCAGCCAGGAGAGGTTCTCGTTTTCACCTGCCTTGACACCAGACCACGTCCCAACATGCTCAGCAGGGCAGGGCCGCTCAGCGCTGTTCCAAGAGTGTCCAAGGGGCAACGGGCACAAACTGAAGCAGAGGAAGTTCCAGCTGAACATGAGGAAGAACTTCTTCCCTCTGAGTGACGGAGCCCTGGAACAGGCTGCCCAGGGGGGTTGTGGAGTCTCCTTCTCTGGAGATATTCAAGACCCGGCTGGACAAGGTCCTGTGCAGCTTGCTCTGGGTGACCCTGCTTCGGCAGGGGGATTGGACTGGGTGACCCACAGAGGTCCCTTCCAACCCCGACCATTCTGTGATTCCGAGTGCAGGACTGGCACAGAAAACTGTCCACATGCCAGCATCATTATATTGAAAAAAATTCAGAAGTCAACAGCAAATCAAATGAAAATGGAAAAGGTTCAGTATCAGACCTCTGCGTGAACACTGGGGGGGAAAAAACCCTTGAA